CTTTTCTGGTGTGACTGCAGGCTGAGCGAAAAATGTGACAAAAAGAACTGGTTTGCACATGGGCTCTCAAGCCCTCTTTCACACCAAAGACTTTGTCAAAATAAGAAGCAGATCTCCAAAATATTTCCATCCATCTTCACTTGTAGGTTTTTTAAGCAAAATAATAATGTCATAATAGTGACTTTCAACCTGGTGAGTTTTGCATAAAGCACAGTTAAAACTTTGAACCTCAAATGTTAAATGCAGAGGGAGCTTTCTGTAAGAGTCAAAACATTCAATTTTCTTTCACTTTTTTTTTTCCTTTAAAAAAATAGCTGTCAGTAACATCTTCACTGGTTTATCATCCTCTCCTTGCCACCAATCCTGGGGTTTCACTGGTGGCAGTAGGACTAGGAAACTGAGGGAAAAGCTCTGAAAAGAGACATGGCCTATGAAGTTCTCCATCTCCTGTTTTTAGGGAAATCACTTTAAATACAGCAATAATTCCAAAGCTGAGCATCAGAAGTTAATGACTCATCAAAGGAACAGGAAATAGGAAACTTTAAGACCTTAAAGGCACAGCAAATAGAAGCTATTTCATGTCATGTCCAACGTCACCACCCTAACTACAGTACTTCAGGCTCAATGGGGGGAAGCAGCATTGAGACCATTTATCACAGTAATTATGTGATGCTGGAGGGAGCACAACTTTATTTTTTATTCAGTTTGACCCTGAGCACCATCAAAATGCAAGACTACAAACATTTGAGAAGTGATATATTGGCACCAGCCAGCACTTAAACAAGAAAGATTTGTTAAAATAAAATTAAAGTAAATAATTCAATTCCCACTATATATTGGGAATTATTCCCCTGAAGTCCAAGTTAACTGAGATTTGCCCCAAAATAATAGAAGATTTAACATACTTCAATTCCAGCACGTAACTCCAGGCAGAAATAACTCTTCAGGAATTCTCTAAAACTTTTGGTTGCCTGTCTCCAAGCCTAATCCTCCACTCCTTCCATGCTGAAAAGCACATCTGTAGAACTTTATTCTACACTGATGCCTGAAGGACAGGTCTGTTTGATAATGTGGAAGAAGAGCATAGTTTACCCCAGAGAGCCAAAAACCACAGGCATCTCCTCCTGTTCCCATTATCCTCCTGTGTCATCCTTAGCTGTGCTGCCAAAATAAACAATAATCAGTCTGATCTATGGAAGGACAACAATTCTCTGCCCATATACTGGAGGCAAAATGTTTTTCTCCAAGTTATTGAAAGTAGCTGTGTTTGGATGACTGCTTCAGTAAATATGAAAGGCTCCTTCCCCGTTGCATTCCTGTGCTACTTTTAGAAGGACAAAAAGTCTGAATCTTACAGAAAATCCACTGGTAATAGAATTGGTGGTGGCAGAGCTGCTCTGACTGACAATCTTAACCTAAACATTTTCTGGTTTGTGTTGTTTATGGAGGCTTTTTATTGCAGAACTGGGAGGGGGGGGAGAGAGAGGAGTGGGCAGTACCCGAAATCCTCACAAGACTACTTAAAGCTGGCTGGTGAAAATGGAGCATTTCAGTGAAATTCGATATTTTCTTTCATCAAAGGCAGGGAGCCTCAACCCACATGTTAACAGTAATGTAACAAGCCTACTGTATGTGCTGCAACCCAAGGTCCTTTTCCAATTAGAATTCATTTAGGCTGGGGGAGAGCAGGGGTCGGAGCAAAGAGGTGGCTCTGGAATTGATCTAAAACTGGAATCCAACCATTCCGGCTGGGAACTCAGCTGGGAATCCCAAGCACTTGCTTGGATTCTGCAGCAAACCAGAAATGAAAAAGCACTGTTAAAGAGAACAGTTTGTCCCTGGAAAACTGAGGAAATGTAGACAGAATGTTTCTTTTTCTACAAAGAAAGAAAGAAAGAAAAAGGAAAGTCTGTTGCACTAGAAAAAAAAAATAAACAACCCCAATATTCTTTAATTTTGCTGAAACTCAAGTTAGCGTTTGCTTTTCGATTCCAGGTCTGATAGAATCTCCAGATCAAACTCATTAATGTTGGTTAAACCCAGTTTTGCTGATAGGAATGTGTGGGACAGCAAACAAAATCAGTGTCAGGCCTCAAGAGAGGATGTGCCTCTTTAATTGAAAAAGGCAGAGTAATCATTCATTTATTTAACCCAGAGATGATTATAATCTGAAAACCTTGAAATCCTCTTACACAACAACTGTTTTGGCAAGCCCCTCTGTGTTCCAACAAATATTAAACTGTGCTTGCCATTTGTCTAAGGAATCTTGTATTAATAAACATGAAGAAGAACACTTTTACCTCCCACACTCAATGACAGAAGAAAACAAAGACCAGCTGTATTCATCAATGGATCCTTGTTCTGCACATAAAGGCTAATTACATTTTACTTCAAGCCTACACATGGAAAACTTTGCTCCTGCCATCTTGTCAAAGGCAGCTTCTGATATTCCAGCTGACAGACTGCAATGACTGCACATAATAAACTTCTTTTTGTCATTAACACCTTCAGTGCCCGGCCCGGGGCTGTGCTGGGGCTCAGGGAAGGGGCAGGGGCAGCACACACCCACCTGCTGGGAATTCTGTACGTGGGGATGACAGAATTGGGCTGGAAATTTTAATTCCAGCCACTGATCTCATCTGAAGGTGCTTGGCTGTGCCTCTGTCCCTCCCTTTGCACTTAGAGTACTTTGAATGGGACATTGTGAAAAGATAAAACAAACAAGTTGACATAACGATTCCCAACTTTTCAGATCACCACAACTGGTCTCCAGGATAAAATCCAGACTCCTTAATGCTGATAATGAAGATTTCTCACTCTGTATTTCTTCTGCTTCTTGGGGTTTTTTTGCCTTGTTTGAAAGATTTTCAAAGTTTCAAGTAGCTGAAAGACAGCTTTATTCTGAGACTGAAAATCTTGAAAGGACTGTTAGCTTTTAAATATTGACAATTATCTGGTTTTTTTTCTTGAAGGCACTCCAATTCATCTGCATCAAATAAGCGTCTGTAAAACTAACAATTCTGGCCTAAGATAAAAATCACATGTTTTTAAAACATAAAATTAAAATTGGCAATACAAGTAGCTTTTCAGACTTAGATCAAAAGAGGGCTTCTTTTAAGAAAAGAATCAAACTGTCTTTCACCCTTTTTATTGGTGTTTCTTCAGCCCTTCTCCCAGCTTTTACAATTAAAATAGATGACTCAATTTCACTGTCTACATTCAGTTCCCTTTTCATGTTCTTCTAGATTTTCATATTGCAAAATTTGGGCTGCAAATGCTACAGATGACTGTTGTTATGCAAGAACTATTCCTGCCATAAATATCCAAAACAATGATAAAATATTTCTGCTGTTATTAGGACCTACAAGTTTGTTTTCACAGTACATTAGTCTGGGAGATAAAGTACAAGCTTAATGTCTGGTTCAGGATTCAGATCCATGACCACTATATTCCAGACCCAGTCTCCATAATCATTCAGCTACAGAACACAATAAACTTCTTGTTACTGTAGATGTCACTAATTTTATGTAATTCTATATAAATTAGGTAAGAATCATTCTCAAGATCATATAAAAACCAAGTATTTCTGTGTGAATCTCCCCAAAAGAGTGAGATTAGAAATGCAAACAAATATTTTAGAGAACAGCTTTTGCTCAGTGTAAGATAAATTACAGCATCTAGGGAAACAGTATTAAAAAATGAAGCACTCTGCAAATAAACACATTAAAAAGGTGAGAGGTTATTAGGTTCAGTGCCTACAACCACTGATCTCTGCCTGTTTTCCCAGAAGTAACTGCAACACGAAATAAGAGCAACAATAACGGTTATGTGAAGGAAAAAACAAAGTCAATCTGCAGGAATTAAAGGCTCCATCTGAAGCAGCATTTGTTTACGTCCCTTAGAGAGGGATGAATCAATGAGGGAACAAAAATATTTTTGATCCTCTTGCATGGAATTCATCCTACATGAAGCTCAAAGGAAACTGGACTTCCAAATCCAGACCAAAATTCACCTGAAAGATTATCCTGAAGGACATGAAAGGTGTTTAAACTCCAAGTGCTGATTGTTAAAACTACCATGGGCTGAATTTTGTGAGCTCCAGGGGTTCCCCACATCCTCAGTGGGGAATCAGATCCTCAATAGGCATAGAACCACAGGGTAAGAAATTTAAAATTGGTGCCAGTTTGACTGGCTTTTAACCCTGGGCAGTGGGTACAGGGAGGTGACAGAGTCCCAGCCCTTCCCTTGAGTGTCCCAGCCATCTGAAATGCCTGCTTCATTCCCATCCCATTTCCAGACACTGAAATGACTCTTTGTGCTTAATCCCACTGATCATGAGAATTCCTTCTCATTATTAACTTTCCTTAAATATGAAGGGTTCAAAGGAAACCAGCAGCAGTCTGTCTCCTTTGTTGTTCCCTGCCCTGATGGTTAATAAAACCAGAGGATAATTGGAAACAGTAGCTATTAAGAAGACAAGAATATATATTTTTTAATACTACCTTCATGTTCTACTTGAAAACAAGGAAAATCTGCCCAAAATGCTGCTCTCTGTAATTAGGGGTGAACCTGGCAGAGCAAGGACTACTACCCCAAAAGCAGAAAGAACCAGGGTGCCTAAGAATCAAACAGAAATGCTTTCCTAAATGAAGCTTTGTGTTCACCAAGATGGGAAGATCACAATGAATACCTTATTCCTGAACCTGCTCTATTTCTAAATAAAATACAAGAGATATACAGGGTAAGAGATACACAGACGAAGCACCTGAGAATGAAACCAGGAATGCAGCAGCGTGTGTGCCAGGAGAAGTGTCTTGTTGGGGAGAAGAAAATATAAAAACTAATAATCTCTCCATAGGAGGCCAAATTATGACCATGTTTTCCAAAAACTTGGATGCCTGAGTCTCCCTCATCTCATCTCTCTCCAACAGACAAATGCAAAACAAAAAAATCAGTGGTACCCTGAAGGAAGACACAGAAAGAAAACAGGGAAATCTTACTTTGCAGTAGTTTCTTCATCGTATTTTGTTTTCAGATCAAATAGCTCTGTCCTGGTTTTTTCCAAGGCTAAAAGGCATAAACATGAAGCATTACAGTACTGAAATAGCAGTATTCAGTCATAAATAAGGCTGTACATCTCCTGATGAAAAAAAATAAAGCTATACACCTCCTTAAGCTTTATCTTTCTACCTAGGCAAACCATTATGGCTTACAAAAAAACATAGGGTTTTGACTTTTTGCACTATTTCTTACAGTATTTCTGTTACATTGCAAAAATTTCCAGTTTCTGCTTAACCAAGCTAGACATTATTAGTTTCTTATTAAGCTGGCTAAACTGCTTATTCCTTTGAAATACTTATTGCAGTAGTTCAGGGAATAAAATTTCTTCTGTTCTCATAGTAAACAAAGGCAAATGTGTCCAGACCTGGAATTTCGAAGTGTGCAGAGATGAAAATTAATGGCAAGAAATGGGGTTCACACAGCTCAGTACAGATGTTTAGCACATTTGGAAATGTGTGGAAGCAGAACACACATGGAGGGTAAGTTCCATGGCCTGCTCTAATTCCAGGGATGCTCTGTGTATGCTCCATGGCCTTGCCCCTGTTATTTGCCAATGACAGCTGCAACAAGAGTGTTTGCTCTGATTCACAAAGCACATCTGAGCTCTGATGGACCTCCCTGCATGCCAAGAGCTGCTCCACATCCAGTCCTGACACACCCAACGATCCCTGTCCTCTCACCTCCCACCTGATCATCTGGAAAAGGTCACAAAAGCCATGCCAAACCTGTTTGCAGAGCTTGAACTTTGTGTTCGGCTTCCTCCAGCTTCGAGGCTGTCGACATCTGGGTCTCCTGCAATTTTCTGTGAAGGGGAGAGGAGAGGTGAGAGCAGAGCAAACAACTCATCTGTGCCTTGCAGATTTGGGGGATAGAGCCATTCAGTGTCTCAACTGGAAGGAGACAACTGCCAACACCACAGAGGCTCGGAGGTGCTTCCATGGGACCCATAAATGCTGTCACGTTGTGAGATGCTGCTCCTACTTTGTTGTCCCACTTATTAAAATTTTAACAGTGTAGCCACCTCATAACATAAGCTGTGAACATTATAAAGAGTTGACTGCTATATAAACGACAACTTCAGTGGAAGGTTTTCTTGAGCATAATTTGTTTTGGAAATGTCACACACATTGAGAAAATTGTCACCAAGCACCCTCTGTTGTACAAAGTTAGTACAAGAAGAATGATACATTTCCATTTTAGTGTCATAATGAAGGAATTTGTTGCCATAACTGATAGAGTGAATAGATGCAGCAGCTGTTTCATCAGAGCTGTAATGGGTGCCAAATGCAGCAATATTATTAGCTACTCTTTAAGAAAACACACATATTTCAAAACAAATCTCACAGTGATATTTTCTACAGAACATGAGCAAAACTTTAATATGCTCACATTTCTTACGTCCACAGGCAACATTTTCTTGTTTGTGTCAGTCAAACTCATTTTTACATCATCTGGCCAGGCAGCCACTGCACTCCTTGCTAAGGGCCAGGCTGCAGGAGTTATAAAACTCATCTTTGAAAGGAGCTGCTCCAACATCTCCCAGGAGCCATGCTTTTTACAACACTGCTTTTAGGATATTCTGCAGATCTCAGAATTGTGAAATGGCTTATGAAACTACCAGCATCCTGCCTGCACTCCATAGGGTGCACAAATTTCTTCTCCAACACTGCTGACCAGGTTAATAACTATTTATAGCCAGAATCATGCATCAGTTCCCTTCATACTGAACCATATACTTTGAGACTTCAAAACCTCTCTTACACACACTTTTATTTGCATTCCAAGACCTGCCATTTTGTTTTATTTTTAAGTACATTGAAATTGCAGTTGTTAAAACCACTGCTTACAAGCTGCTTATCAAATAGCAACCGCAGGTATTGACAAATTAAAAAAAAAACAACTTTGCATTCACTGGTAGATTCTCCTCATTCAGCCCTGAATTTAAACAATCAACCCTCCAACTAAAAAAGCTCACGTGAACTGAAGGTTTTCCACGCTATGTTGAACACATTATAGCTTCAGTGTTATTGCTCCACAAGAGAAATAAATTTTCCAGGCAGGGAATGCAGCCTGAAAGAACTCCCTCTTTAGCCCCTTGGTTTTCTCCTGCCTGATTTATTTGCCCACCAACCTAAAGAATCAAATGCTCCCTTCTCATTTGCAAAAGATCAGAAATGCATCCTAAATGTTTTTTTTTTAATCAATAGTAAATAATGAAAACCCTTCTTAATTTTGGCATGGAGGAAGATGCAAACCTCCCCAGGATAATTCAGGGAGACATCCCCTGTCCCAGGCATTCCCAGGGGAGCAGAGGTGGTGCCTCCCTGGCCCTGGCTGTGGGTGCAGTGGCTCACCTGCCCCAGCCAGGGCTGCAGAGCCTGTGACACACAGGCTAATGGAGACAGATGGGTGCCACAGAGGACAGTGCAGCCAGGGAGGAATAAAAGCAGGTTTGCACCCTCCTGAACGTGACACCCCCCCAGCACACCACAGAGAAGAGACAATCTGTCCTAGTTTCACTTCCACACTCTCCTGACTGTTTTCCTGGGCAAAGCTGAGTATCAAATGATCCCGTGTCAAAGGCATGAATCGCCAGAATCACTCAGTGGATGAGCTGTCTCCAGCCACCAGCCCTGGCTGGGAAGATTAAACAGAAAAATACCTCTCTGCTCCTCCCCAGCACCCAGACACACACTCACACACTCACTCACCTCTCCTTCTCCGCAAAATCATTTTGTAACTTTTGTTCCTTTTCAAGGGCTATGTTCTCCGCTTGGTTCTTCAGGGTCTGTTCATATTCTCGGATTTTCTCCTTAAGTGCTTTTATTGTAACCTCTGCAGGAAAACAATAGGGGAAGAATGAGTTTACACAGCTCCACGTGGTTCCACAACACAAGGCTTGCTTTACCCTGTAGGCTCAGTGTGTTTTAAACTTTAGCTCTTCAACTCTGACACAAAATCAATGGCTATGAGTCCCTTTGGAGACCTTTTACTCCCTAAATGTTAAATTGAACTTTAAGTGTTTAGGTTGAGAAGGATCAATGGAGTTTGCTGGAAAGCAGAGTGAAGAAGGTTCCTCTAACATGAATTTTTTTAAAAAAGAAGGAAAAAAATCAATTGTAAAATATAATATCACCTTATTGACTAGCCTAAAATTAGCTCAGTGCTGAGAGAAGATTAATAAAGTCCCAGTGTAGGTTTAAGTATGCATTTACACACAGGACACTTCATTCACCTGACCGTGCTCATGCACTAAGAGGCCGCCCCACCATGGCTCATGCACAGATGCAATCTCACACTAATTGAACAGGTATCTGGGATACAGCTCTGTTCTGCTTCCCAGCTGATGGGAAACCTGGCATTTGGGATCCAACTGCTGCATTCACAGCAGGCACTGGTGCTCTGCACGTCCCAGTTGCTGTCACTGCCTCGTCCTCTGCCCCAGGGTTTACACACAAACATTGACTATTTTAACTTTCTGAGGCACTTGCAGCCTTCCAGGGAATTTGCAGAACCCTTCCTTAGGATAAAGGAGCTCTCCTGCATTTCCCCATGCCCAGCAGTGGATGGGAACAGATGTAGAAACCTGCAGAGTCACAGCTCAGCATCTCCTTACGTGCTCTGATGTGCTCCTATGTGAAAGCCCTGTGATCCCACCCACAGGAAAGGACTGAATCCTTATAGGGCTCAGCAGAGAAAAAGCAGCACATCCACCAGAGTATGCTTTGTAACAATAATGGAATTTGGAAAAAGCTTTGGACTGCCAGAATGCTCACAGCAGCAACACAGTTGAGTACTCACACTAGGATGCGGGGTGAGGGAGGGGGGTGTTTAAAGACATCAGCTTATTAACAGATACCATTAATAACTGTTGAGGAAAAAATAAAAACTTCTGGATGTGAAAAGTTTCATATTCTGCAGAAACATCCTAGGAACACAAATCCTAATATGAAAAATAAACCCTATGGGCTTGGGAAAAAAAAAACAACTCCATAATATTACACAAACCCACACATTATCTTTTCAAAATCCCGATGCTGAGAGTTGAGCAGGGAGCTGTGAAGCAGACAGGAGGTAGCTGGTGACATGATCTGCTGTCTGGGCACTACCAAAGGGAGCTTGAGCCACTGTGACCACAAAAAAGGGGGGAAGAGTGGTAAAAATGCTTGCCAGCAAAGCAGCTGCCTCTGCCTGAAGGAGCAGGATTTTGCTGGCTGTGCAGAAATCAGCTGAGGCTCATTACTGAGTAACAGGCCGTGAAAAGGACACGTCACCTCTTTTTTTTTTTCTTAAGCACAGGGAAATTCTTCCCTGAGATCTGGGAAGTCATACAAGTCCTGATCTCTTCCTGAATAAGTAAAGGATGCTCCTTTGCACTGACAGTAGGATGCTGCTCCTGTGGGAAAAGGGGGCTGCACTCCCTCCTGGGCCACCTCTGCTCCAGGTGTTTGTATTTTATATAAACACCTTTCTATTTTTCAGATCTAAATCTCCAAAAATATTCTGGTATATGGCGAAGCAGAGAGCAAAACAATCTCATGGAAATGCACGTAATTGCACCTTGACTAAGTTTCAATGATTCATTTTAAAAGCAAACAAAACTACGAAAACAAATGCAAGAAGTGCACAAACATGGGGGAAAATGTAACTTTCGTAATAAAATCTGATTTTATCTTTAAGCACCTCATAATGGATGTGCTGGACAAGTATAGCTGAATCCTCTACACTGCTTGAAGCACTAAGTGCCTTCCTCAGTGCTCAGGTCAGCTACAGCTTGTCAGGCACTGCCATTTATACCAGTTTTGGAAGAATTTCTTACAGGCACCGTAGAGCTCATAGCAGCCCTCCAAACAAAGAGATTAACTGATCAAAGCACCCTCAGCTAACAACAGCCTTTTCCCTGGATAGCTTATTAATCCCTGTTTGAAACTAAGAGTAAAACCACTGCACTGGAGTGAAAAACAACACAACGGCTACAGTGGGGAAATGGAAAGGAAGTTCCAGCACACCAGGGAAAATCAAAATGTCAGTTATGAGTGGTTGTAGCAAAAAACTCTACAAGTCAAGAGCTTTTCCACTTTGTGGGATGAACCCCCATGTCATGCTTGGATGTACTAGATGCACAGCCTCAGGAAAACTTTGCACAGTGAACTGCAATGATTGTACATTTCCAGCAAAAAATACAGTTTTGCTTAGAGCATTACAGTTCCAACATGACATCTCCTGCAGTCCAGCCCGAATCATGGCATGCTGATACCTGTCCTCTCCAGGGGTCACACCCTCTACATCAAAAATATGTATATTCCAAAATATATAACTTAATAGATGTTCCCTCAGCAAAAAATGAGATTTAACAAAATCAACTTAGTTGTTAATGCAGCTTTCAAACATTACCTGAGTGCAACAGTTCCATAATACAAAAAACAAATTAAAATATCCAGATTTCCAAATGCCAAGACAATTTACCTTTCCACCATCCAGAACTGGCAGTAAAGATAGAAATGTAAAGTCCCAAGGATGGGCAACTAAGTGCATGGCTGGGAAAATTTTTTTCCTGGTGCAGGAAACTGAATCACAAGAAAACTTAAGCAGTCTTAAAGCCAACAGACTTTAAATCTCATTGAGATTTTCATGTATTTTTATGTACTTTAGTCTCATTAAAACTTAAATAATTTAACAGTAATGGCTTGTATTTACATTGCTCTATGGATGGTCTCTAGAGTAAAAATAAAGTGCATATACTGAATGTACTCCAGTAGTACATTTAGATAAGGAGAAACAGTACAGAAAAAGTTGCATTTTGTACAGATTCATATGTGGGTACAAAATACTGAATTTTTGTGTTTGTCTCTGCAAGCTGCACATCCTGCAAGTACCAACGCCCACGTTCAGCCTGATGTCAGTACCAGCACTGCCTCTCAGAAAATGTCACAAATAACGTCAGTCAGGTGTAATTTTCAGTGCTGAAGGCTACAACCAAATATGCAGAATAACAACTCCATCTTCTCACTTGGTGCTACAGTAAATGAAAATTTGAAGAAATCCAAAGAGTCTGCCCAAAACCCATCCCCACACACAAATACAGAAGTGACCCTAATAGACTATTGCACTTTCTCTACTGAATTTCAATACTACTTTCACCTCAACCTTTAAGAAATAAAACTGAATGCAATTTCTGTCTTCAAATTTCAGTGTGCATTAAGAGCTGACAATATGGTTGCAACATACCCTGATTTTTCACCTCGGCGAATTCTTTATTGTATTCCTCCAGAGTTTCCCTAAGTTTCTGGTTTTCTGTTTCAATATCGTGCATGCGTTGAACCTTCAGCTGAAGCTGCTGTCCTAAATCCAAGGCTGGAACCGGATCTGAAAAAGAAACAGTAAAATAAAATGTAACAGGAGCACTTCTGGGACCCAAGCAGTTTAGAGTACAAGTGTCCTTTTTTTCTCCATTTTGGTGCCAGCAGAGCCCTACGTTGAGTTATCAGACGTGTAAATTCCTCATGTCATATATCCTGCAAACTTAAAAAAACCCCAGAACTATTTCATTCTATCTATGTTTCCTTTAAATACAGAGCTTGGCTGAGAGGGCTGGGGGTGTTCAGCCAGGAGAAGAAAAAGCTTTGGGGAGACTTAAAGCCCCTTCCAGTGCCCAAAGGGCTCCAAGAGAGCTGGAGAGGGACCTGGGACAAGGACCTGGAGTGACAGGACAAGGGGGAAAGGCTTCCCACTGCCAGAGGGCAGGGAGAGATGGGATACTGGGAAAAAAATCTTGGTTGTGAGGGTGCTGAGGTCCCAGCACAGCCTGCCCTGGTTGCAGCTGCCCCTGGATCCCTGGAAATGTCCACTGCCAGGCTGGACAGGGCTTGGAGCACCCTGGGATAGTGGAAGTGTCCTTGCCCATAGCAGAGGATGGAAATGGATGAGCCCTAAGGTCCCTCCAACCCAAACCATTCTGTGATTCCATGAAATTTGGACACAGCTTCTTCATCCTGGCACTAATTCCCAGGACAGTCATGATACAAAGGCATGTGAGAATTTTGAGCTTCACATTTTTCATTGCAAAATGAGAATTTTTGGGTAAAAAGCAATCAAACCGCACAGCTGACTGACAGCTACTTTCCGTCACAGGCCTCTGCTTTGTGGGAGTGAATTTCTGAAGCAAACTGTGCCCTCCTGCACAGCAAAGCTCAAACAAGTTCTGTGACCATGGAGATCTGAATGGAACTTTTTCTAATTGACAGATCAATAACAATCAGAAACGTTGTGTGGATGTAATCAATTCCATGAACCTTGGGTTTGGGTCTCTCTTTCTCTTACACTATTAATCAAATGTCCTCCGAGTATTAATTCTCTGATGTTCATCCCCTTCTGGTAAAGAGGGTTCTCAGCACACACCTGACATATGCACGTGTGATTTATTCTGGGACTTCTTCCCGGTCAGGATAGGAAAACTCTGGAGTGTGATGGACTTATAAAAGATTATTGAATATATTTCTGCTATGGGCGCCAGCATCTCTTGTGAAACGGCTGCAAAGATTTAGTCTCCTGTTGAGGAATGCTAAACACCAAACTCAGTGGATCAACAACAGTATATATTAGGGAGTTCACTTAATTTTCAACCACCACAGTCATTAATTTTTCAGACCACCCTCAGTTCCAGTCTCTGGAAACACATAATAAGTCTATTGTACCTCTGTTAACACATTAAGCATGAGCCTGTGTGTTTTTTCAATATGCCAGCGTTGTTGCATAGTTTATAAAAGAATAGCACTGGGTTATGTTGAACTCAGAGACATTCTAAGTAGCAGCCTGCTGCATTTTGTTACTTGGGTTCTTCAACAGCTTATGGCATTACCCTGTTCATAATACAAAATCTAGGTTGCTTGTCATCTGTTCTCTGTACATACATAGTTTATGACTACATAGCTTTTTCATTTATGCTTTTTAGGCCAAATACTTTTCGTTATTATTATCTGTATTAAAATATTTATAATAAATCAAATTTAAAATGTTATTGTGGCAGAGACAGGGGGGTACAGGTAAGGAATTAAATAGAGAGCTGAAGTGGCAGCAGTAGCAGGAGGTGAAGGCTCTGCAGTATTTTTATGGATGGTCCTATTACGGTGTGGGCTGTCACAACACTCCCCTGCTCCCATGGAGGTCCCTGACCTTCTCTGCAAGGAGCGTTTTGTCACACTCCTGCAGCTCAGCACCCCCAAAGAGCCAGCCCGGGACATTCATCGGCTGAGCACAAAGAAAGGCCGGATTGTCTCGCTCTGGCCACGTCTTCAAGTGTTACAGAAACCACAGAATCTATCAGGCCCGGGATCGTAAACTTCAGCTGTGGGTATTTCTATGAAACAGTGCCACGATGAAAGAGAACTTGACAAAATTGTGGGTGCACTTTCCCCCACTCTCATTTTAACATGCCCGTTGTAAAAAGTCGGGACATGCACAAGAGGTATTTTGCTCCTAATACACAAGGCTTTTTATATTGAAATCAGCAAAGAATTAAAAGACAAAAATAACACGGGCATTATAAAATGAATAATGACTAAAACTTTAGTCAAATTTGCAATCCCTGAGAAGCTTTATGTACAAAATGAAAATGCTTGCAATCTCATAATTATTTATCAGGACATGTATATTTAATTTAGCTCTATTAAAGGTTAATGTTCAAGTAGCAGAACAGTGGCAGAACAAACAAAATGTAAAAAAAGTCTCTGTGCATTAAACTTCAAACTTCACTAGAGCCTATTTGAAGGACTAATGGCCTGCAGCCACCAAATACTGCTGGAGGACATGTAAAAAAACCCATGGGTGAAGCACCTCTTAGACTTAATTTTTATAAACTGCATTCAAGAAAACTAATTGCTGTACGATAAAAAAATGACCAACCACGACATTTTGGACAGAGAGAAAAATAATTTCTCGTGGCAAGCTCCAGCATGTTCTTTTAGCTTGAAAAAGCTAAAAACCTGTTCTTTTTGGAGTATTTATAAACACCAATTAACCTGAAACAAGTATAAACCTTACAGTCACAATGGCTTTTTTCCTACCTGAGTGGAGCGGATTAAAAATAAATAAAAATACTCTCTTTTTCCCAACACATGCATGCATGGAAAAGCATACCTTTTTATATTAACCAGGTTTGCAAAGTATGTTTCACGTCATTTAACAGGAGGTCACTGAATTTTTAAACAAGCAATGGACCAAAACTTTTGATTCATTACACAAACAACAGGCATACACGGCTCAAAAAAATCAACTGGCCCTGGCTTAGGGAGAGAGGCAGCAAAGGAAATGCCCTCTCTGTGGTCTGTAACGGAGAAAAATCACCTTGCTGAACACTGAAATATGGAAACCTCATCATACATTATTCCCTTGCCTTGAATTTTCTCTTGTGAAATTCCAGAATCCCTGCTGGGCACAGGATAAATAAAAAAGAGAGAGAAAATAAGTAAAAAGGATCTGATCATCCAGAACTTGAAGAAGCATCTTGCAAGATCATTACTGCCCACGAGTAGATTGAGATGTCTATTTTTACACTAAATTTAGTGCATTTTTCCCCTCCTGCTTCCTATTCTGCTCGTTTTTCCTAATCCACTTGTTGCGTGCCATACCCACAGAGAAGCCCCCTGCATCCTGTGCTTGCAGGCAGCCCAGCACATCTGGATCCGATCCCTGACGAGGTTTCCTCCACGCCACCACAGCAGAAACAGAAACCACCAATTTCCAACCCTGCAGAGCCCGTTCCTGCCTCTCCTTCCCCAGGACTGCAGAGCTCTGGGCACATCCCAGCTCGCTGCTGACACACCTCACTGTCCCCTGGCAGAGGAGCTCCTCTCCCCACAGAGGAGGAGGATGGACACGTCTCAGTGGACACAGACACGAAAACAATTAATGTTACAAATGTGAAGTGATTTTTATAGCAGTTAATACTTCACATCAAACGAGCCGGCGCGACGCAGCCGCAGCAACACCTCTCAGGCTGCTCTCACACCACGCACATGCCTTGACGATTTATCTTTTTTCAACAGTAGAAAAAGAGAACCTTTTTTTTTTTTTTTTTTTTTCCCTGCTGTTTAGGTATGTAAAGTAGTGACTTCACAAACAATTTTAAAAGAAACACTACCATTGATTTTGCCTGAACTACTCATTACAGGAGACAGTTCCTCAACACCCTGGGTGCAGTTTTGAGTGTCACAATATAAAAAAGATATAAAGCTGCTAGAGAGTGTCCAAAGCAGGGACAGCAGATGGTGAAGGGTCAGGAGGGGCTGAGGGCACTTGGTTTGCTCAGCTGGAGGAGACTGAGGAGAGACTCGCTGGGGTCTGCAGCTCAGTGAGCAGGGACAGCAGGAGGGAACGGCTGGAGCTGTATGAGGAGGTCTAGGCTGGACATCAAGAGAAGGTTCTCCCCTGGAGGGTGGTGGGCATTGCCCAGGCTCTGCAGGGAACGGGCACGGCCCCAAGGCTGCCAGAGCTCCAGGAGATTTGGACAACGCTCTCAGGGATGCCCAGGGTGGGATTGTTGGGGCCAGCTGGACTGATGATCCTCATGGGGCCCTTCCAGCCCAGGATATTCTATGACAGTACACTCTAACCCCCACCCCACATCGCTCAGCCCAAACCCAGCCTCAATCCCCGAGTTACAACAGGGCCCTGCTGACTGCCTGAACTTCCCAAGTGAATTCTGTGAAGAGCCCCCATTCCTCCCTCCTCCTGCGAGCCGAGGAAGGCGCAGCGCGCAGTGCCAGCAATCCCACGCCGGTGCTCACAGCGCGGGGCTGCCCTCGCCGATCATCCGGCCAAAATGACCGCGGCTGCCCCTCAGCCCGCTGACATCCCACTCCCGCCCGCCTTCCTTTTCGCCAGGGCACTCTGGGCTAATGTAATCATACGATTACATAATTAACCCAGCTGTCTCATTAAGAAAATCAACTGGAATTCAGGGCATAATTAGTCATACAGCAATTAGCATGCTGATGAGCAACTGATGAAAAGCTGTCTCGATATAGAGTATGCTGGGACCACCCTCGTTATTTAAGGAGAGGGGGGAAAAGCCCACCTCGGCTCATGGAAAAGGAGTTCCTGCGGGACGGGAAATGTTTAAAGTTTATGTTTAACCCTTCGGCCGTGCCTGTTGCTGCCGTGAGGGGTGAGCAGCCCCGACAACACCGAGGGGGCTGATGGCGGGGTTTGCGGGAAAACTGTGTCGTTGTTTAAACGTACGATTTGCAGCGCGCAGGGCCAAATTACCCTTTCTCCCCATATAAATAAATATTTATTTATTTATTTTTATTATTTATTTATTTGACCCGGGGGCTGCGGAGCGCTGCTGGGCGGGAGCAGTCCCGAGG